AAATGGTGCGATCCTGCTTGTCCCGGATCTATTGAAGGTGTGACCTGGTCCATTGCCCTTTATTGAATACTGTAGATCAGCGACTCTGGAGGGATTGGATATATCTTGAGACGAAGTAGGTTACGCTCCGGAGCCGAACCGGAGCGATTTTGGCTGCATGGAGTGATCAAGGGCTTAGGTTTTGGGTCTGGATGAGCGGTGGTTTAAATAATTGTTATTCGGTTGGTCAACTGAACGTCGGCGCCGTCAATCGTATGCTCGGCAGAGCGATGAATATCCCATAAGAGAGCAGCGGATTTGCGAAAAAGAGCTGGAAGGGTTCTCTCCGATAGAGTTCGACCCGTGATTGAATTGATTGATTCTCGCCTCGAGGAATCATTCAATGACCGATTCATTCACTCATCTCCGCCGCGAGCGGCACGAAGAACTCCCGCGCGCTGTCGTTGACCGCGGTCCCGCAATCGATCGGAGCGTTCAATCATCCGCGCAGACAGTCAGCAAATACGCCGGACCGACAATGAGAGAGAGAATTTGATAGCGCGAGAGACCGGAGAGAGAACGAAGGCGACGTCGCCATGTTATAAAGCTCAGTTTTATGATCTCGTCGACCTGTGACCATAGTCGTGGGCTGCTCGGTTCACATTTCGTTCCGCTGGTCCCGTTACGCTCTGAGAACATTAGACGAACCCGTCCCGTGTTTCACAGTTGGGGTGTTCCATACATTTGAACAACAATCCAACAAACCCACAGCGGCACACATTTATGAAACGGAATAGAAGCCTCTCCCTGAGTCTCTGTGTTCAATCAAACTGATCCCGTATCTAAGCGACAGCGTTGGAAGTATTCACCTCAACCTCCGTGACTAAAGGCTCTGAATAAAGTCGACGTTCGAGCTCTAGCTCCAATCGCGATGCCGGGACTCCGGGAAGGATCTAAGGTTGCGCCTGTGTTCGTGTATATTCGAGAGTACTGAGACTGCTTCAAAAACTTCATAATTGCTAAAATTAGGACGCGGCCGATCGTGACAATATGAGGCCGGCGGGGCCAAAGCTTGTACTCAACACCAGGTTGTCAGTTTATGAAGATATGATGGAGCGCAACGGTGGCGAGAGCGGACTTTCGGGGACTAGCGAGATACACAGGCGCTCTCTAGTTAAGCTCGAATCTCTGAGGGAGATGTAGTCGCAGAAAACCTTTGGGCGGATCAATCTCAGATGCCCAGCCGCTCCAGACCCGGCGACTCGATTCTGACCCGCAAGCAAAGGTCGGCTCAATCGTTCATCTGAGAGAACGGGACTTCAGAAACTAAGATAGATGAGAAGTCGAGGTCCAACGTGCTCGCGAAAGGAAACGAGATCGGAGCCACGGCCAACAAAGAGCGGACCGGAGAGACGGGGCTTCCGGAAACTGCGCCGGAAAGGGAGTTGGAGTTTGCGATACGGCAGGATCGGCTCCAGAAACGGCAAACGGGCAAACAGAGTGAAACCAGTGCCATCGCATGAACAGAAGAAGAATCCTCGAGCGCCCGAGTCAACTATAGGAGTCAGACTCGCTCCGTAAATAATTGATCGGTGTCTGAACGTGCAAGGTCGAAGTACTCTGGAGGCTTATTCCGTCGCAGCACTTGCCGACCCGCTTATCGTCTCGACCTCAACTCCTTCTCGACACCGCTCTCGGCCCTTCGATGCAGTAAGGTAGCCAGGGGGGGAGCGAACGTCCGGTCGCCTTCCCCCCCCCCGTTATTTTTCCCGAACCGTGCTGGGGCGACGCCTGTCTGCTCCTTTGACGGTTACGAGAGTAGAAATCTCGGCATTTCAATTCAAACGTTCACCCGAATAACTTGTAATAAACACGATTGCAGCGTGCGGAACTATTGATAACTTGTATATCGACGGGAGACCGCGATGATTCAGTGAACCTCCCAAAGGGTTCGAAGAAATTCCGCCCCCTCCCCCTCTCCGAAAAAAAATCCTGGCTACGACACTGCTTCGATCTCTCTCCTCCAGTTTTCATCCCAATATTCATCCGAATGCTATTTATATTCGGAGCTCGGAGAATATACGCTCAGCTTCTTTCCCTTCTGTGTCTCTCATCCACAAGCAGATGCCATCGTGCCTGTCTTCTACAGCATCTGATCTAATGAAAGGGGCTTCGGAAAAATTGCGATGTCTCAGCTCATTCGTCAGCGCTCCACCTGACAGATCCTTCCAACCCGCGATCCCTACGAGCCGGTATCTTCCGGACCAGGTTTGCACGGAATCCTTTGTTCCTCTCTTGGCTGGGAGTCTCACTCGCCCCCCCGACATTATGTATCTCTCCAGTTTATAGGAAATCCATACTCTGTCCAGGTCCAGCAAGTATCGAGTTTTTCTCTGAGGAAATCTTGAGTCCGGTTTCCCCCAAACGACCTCACCGCCAAAGGCAGCGTTTTCGGCGCGGTGGATCCAGCGATCAAAATCGTTTGAGCTCCCTCCGCCTTGTCGGAGCAGCGGACAGCGCTGTGAGTGGAACTCTTCCCGAGACTCCTATTGGATACCTCGTGGATCGCGTGGGCGGCCTTGGGAGAAAAATACACGAGGTGTCGTTCGTGACCCTCAGCGACTGACTCTTCTCGAACCACGGAAGATTGCCGATGTCATCCTTATCAAGTCTCCCGTTGAATTGGCCTAATGATAACCGGAGAGAACGAATAGGCGTGGTGGGATGTACAAGTCACTAGCATTTAATTCTCTAGTCCTGAGGAAATCGATTGCAGGCGCAGCTGCTGCTCATCAAGGTGCGTATGTAGCTCAATCCACTTATACAAAAGTTCTCAAGTACAACTGAGGTGCTCGATCGGTCGGACCCTCGGCCTGCTCGTCTGACCAGCCGTCGGCTGCCATGGATGGCGTCGCTGAAGCTATTTCGAGCTCCTTTGCGGCCTAGCTCCGACGTCGTCAGACGAGTGCGCAGACAGCCTTGTCCTGGATTCGATGAGCAAAGTTCCTAAATCGTTATCAAACGCTAAGTATTCCCACACGGAAAATGAACGTCGACAATTAAAAATGTTGGTACGAATTCCGTCTGGGTGCTTGACCGTCTCGAACTTCCCTCGCATTATGACGCATGAGAGATAAGACATTTGAATTATTTGTAAACAGGTTCATTTTATTTGGCGCTTTTTCCGCTCGCTGACCCCCTCGTCCCCAGGACCCGATTTTCGCGGTATCCGTGTCCGTGTTCCCCACGACTCAGCATCGGATTCGGCTCATTCTTCCGACAGTCTCCGTCGCAAATCATTCTTGGCCTATCGCAGTCTTCAAGAAGGGTCTTTGGTCGCCGCAGTCAGAGATTCAGATTCCAAGTTTTTACACTTCTCCATATTTCACAAGGTTTCGAAGTGGCAATTCGCCTCGAATATCAGAAATCTCCCCATTCGGTGTGAACGGTCATTAAATCGTGGGATCTTCTTGCGAAAAACAATGTTCAGCAGTCTCTTCTGATATAGGAAACCGATTTTTCCCATTCTCAGGAACCTGTCAGGAAGGTGTTGCATTTGGCCACTGCCTAACAAGCTCGACACGTCCGGGAATTTTTAATCATAACACCGGCGGAATCACTTCAGCGTTCTACCATTCATCATCAAAGTAAGATTTATGATCATTCGCCCATTTTCAAACACCCGAAGATCGACGTCATTATTGCGAGGAGGCCCAGCACTGGTTGTAATCGATCTGCTACGTCTGCTATCATCAATAAAACAGAACTATCACTCGAATAAAAAGATCGGTCATTGAACGCATCGAACTGCAAACGAATAACGAAAACGCGCCATCGGGTTCCTGGACGATCGGTCATCAGACCCTTTTTACTCTTATTCACCGCTCTCCCATTTTTCGTCCACGTGGATGATGCGTCAATGGAAACTCCATTATTATTTATTAACAATCTGAATGTGTGTGAAAAGTATGACTCAATTGTCGAAATGCCATTGTTCATTGCCGGTCTCTTTCTCTCTCCATACGGTTCGCCAATGCTGTCCGAGAAAATCCGCGGGGACGCTCTGCCGCTGTTTCTCCTGGACGCAATCGAGATTATTTTCTAGGTTCATCGGACAGCTGAATACCCCATCTCCACACAACGATGCACTCATGTAATCATGTGTTTGTATATAGTTATATACATATTCATAAAATCGGGCTCGCACGTAGACCGTGTCAGCCCACGAGATGGATCGGGCTCTGGAGAGGTTGAAACCAAAACGGGGACAGGCTCGTACGCCTTCCCGTGTGTTCGCTCGCCTGGCTTTTTGTCAGCGAGTTCAACCCTCCGAGACATCCCTGACCCCCGGAGTATCCCGACTCATCGGGCGCGATACCCGACAACTAACAGGTCCCGGTATGGGATCATACTGGGTGTGTTTGCTCGTATGTACATCGAGTTGAAATCACGCTCCTGAACTATTCCCGCAGTGTGGACTGAATTACTTTTGTGTTCCGCTCACATCAAAGCACTCGTGTTCCACGGGAGCAATGGAACCGAGCCGTTATCCCACGCTAAACTGAATGGGTGCATCCTCACCGAAGATCTAAAAATATCGTGAGTCTCAGATTCCGGTCGGGCCTCGATCCGGAATTTCGGACAACGGGCTCGGATCGATTATTAGGTATGTAGATGCATTTCAATCGCTCCCCTGGACGACTCGGGTCAGTTGAAAATCATTTTGAGCGATCCATCGAGTGCAAGCTCTCTCGATCAGCCGGACGATCACTGAATATCTCATTCGGATATCCTACGGTTGATTGAATGTCATTGATCAGATGAATCACCAGATGACACGACGAATTGATACAGAATCACCTGATTGATATTCCAATGATTCCTCTCCGGAATACCAAATCAGATAAGCTTATCAGATTCTCCTTACAGCTGATTCAAACTCCTCTCATGAATTGCATGGTATCTACACTGATCGTGATGATGGCTTCGGGTTGAGGATGATAACGTGGTGACGCCCGTCCGGTTAATCTTCGATCATCATCCTCGACTCGCTTCCTCATGACATCATTTGAACGGTAACAGTGAGGGATCGGAAACGATGCAAGCGTTCCTCGCGCGAAGTAAGGGGGGTTCTGAGGGGACTTCCAGCTTGTGCTACTGTAACAACGGCTCCAACCGGGACCGAGCTCATCGAGATTGTGGGTTACTTGATGCCAAGATTTCTCACAGGTCGGGTGTCCGGCCCGAGGTGCTACCATCGGCTCCACAGCGCAATAACGAGGAGCGTTACAAGGATGTTTCCTTCTCTTGGAACCACTCGAGCCCCGTCACCGTTGAGGCAGGGCAGGTCGATTCTCTTGAACGGGGTGCCTGAAACGAAGTCAATTGTCAGCAATGGCCGGACTGTAGCCCTCCGTCTCACATTCTCTCGAGAAGAATTCGCGCTCGAAATATAAGGTGGGACGTGACAACCTCGAAGTTCCTTGACAGGGAAAGAGATCCCTAATATCCCGAATTCAGGGAGTTCAATTGGATAGAGCGCTTCAAAGCCCGCGGTGATTCGGGTTCGTCGGAAGAGAAGGGAGTTCCAGCTCATCGGCACAAACCTTTCAGATGCTGCGGGGTTTCGCACTTTGTTTCGAGAGGAAGCGAAACGACGATTTTCCCGATGGTTGTGGCGTATTTGTAGAACCATGAAAGGTCACAATCACAGTCCAATGGGTTTCCTGCGATGGGGACAGACACACAGTCAATCGATCGGGCGAGGGAAGATCTATTTTGGAAATTGAGGCTTCGTGTGAGTTCCCATGCTCGATCATCCTTGCTCACCATGGACGTCGATGATAATGAGCGTGTCGACGATAGGCTCGAAAATCTCCCGGCTTAATCTCCGCAAACGATTTTGATTCATGTACAGCCACTCGAGGCGTGGCAGGCTGGCCAACGCCTCAGGATGCAGGAATTCGATCTGATTTTTCATCAAATACAGGAAGCGAATGTTGACGTTGTACGTGGCGAACGCGTCCTTCTCCACCCGAGTGATATTGTTGCCTCGCACGTCGAGTTCCCGGAGGCCTGTCATGTTTCTCAGCGCCACCGTGGGAATTTCCGTCAGATGGTTGTGGCCTAATTTGATCCATTGCATCGATTCTGAAACATTTCTCTCTCTCGCTGAGTTGCTCCGAAAACTTGGGTGGCGAGCATCCCACTGTGGCACGCTGGCGTTCCCCCCTCGCCCAAAACCCCAAGCCCTTGTTCCCAAGCAGTAGTTCCGTCCTCGCGTTCCTCCAGCCGCTCCGAAACGCCCCCGCCTATCCCGTTGTTCTACCTACTTCGTTGGCCATCTGGCGGTGTTCGGAACGCTTCTCTGCGAGTCCAAACTCGCCGCTCCCATCGATCTCTACAGTGTTTCAGCGGCGCGTTGCACATTCCGGTCGCGGCTCCCACCCGCGTTCGGAGGCGCGGCTGAAGCTTCTGCGCGTCGACATCCGCCCCCGCCTTGGTCTCGCGGCCATGAAGTGAGGGCAGCATTCCTTCCGAATTCGGAGTCTGAACCTCGAGCATGGCATCATTAGAAAACGCCAGACGATCACGAAATTCCGAGATCTAACCCGATCCGCGCCTCGGGAAAGACGATATGCGTACCAATGGATAACAATTAAATATCCGGAGCGATCGAAATTCCGAGTGATTTGAATTCAGGACGGCGGCTTCGAGAATCTTGGATGGAAGCTTCCTCTGAATCGGGTCCGCGGCGGGTCTCCGGGAGTCGGAACTCTTCAGAAGTCGGTACTTACGTCTGATTTCGGCGAATGCATCCGGATGGATCTCGGTGATCTCGTTCCTCGACAGGTCGAGGAGATGTAAACTCGAGATTTTCCGGAAGGATCCTGGTCCGACCACTCGAATCTGATTGTCGGCGAGATTAAGTTTGTCGAGAGCTGGAAATCGGAGTGGAGTTAGGCAAGAGCAATACCTTGAAACACCCATGGAGAACGACGGAAACGGCCGTTCATGCCGGAAGTGATGCTTTGTCATACGTGTCCCCTAAATGGAGAGAATCGTCTGAGAACGGATGTTTCATCGACCACCTGTCCGATGGCACCCTCGACGGAGTATCCCGAGGGATGTTGCGATAAACACCGTCTTGATCGACGAGGGTTTCATTCACTTAGATACCGCCATCGAGGTCTCGACACCCGACTTCGCAGGTCGGAGGCGGGAGGATTTCGGGATGCGTAAACACGTGCCTGGCTGCTCCACCGTGGACTGTGTCCACCGGCAGCGTGGCATTAGTCAGCATTGGATCGTCTGCTTAATGGCTAAGTAAGTACTCTACACCTGCATTCGCTCCTCGTACGGCTGGCCGTCCGTGTGAGCGCCCGGACGCGTTTGAGTGTTTGTTAGCAGGTAGGTGAGTCGGTTGGTTTCGTGAAGTGTTCGCAGACGGGGGACTCATGAACGGGTTTCGGAAGGCGGCGACTCACTGAAACGGAGAGGCCCGAACTTCCGCTCTTTTGACCGCCTCGACCGGTGGCAAAGTGCTTGTCGACTGGCAGCAAACACACATTTACTCCTGGTTTCGGTTCCTCTCGTTGTCCAAGTCTCCGGCCCTAGTACACATACACTCACTCACACAATGATAGAAAGCATTGTTCTTTTGCCCCGGGTAGGCCATTTGCAGCGTCATTCAGCGAAAAAGAACTTATCACCGCCAGGGTCAGCCACCTGCAGCGGCACTTGCTGCAGGACTCGGGGCGAGGAACAACACCTGCAAGAGCATCTGTAACGGTTGCTTACCCTCGGGCATGGTCTGAGTCTCAATAACGCTGATGTTGTTCTCGTGAAGTTCAAGACTGTGCAGGTACTCTATGAGGGCGAACGCTTCAACTGGAACTTTACTGAGGTTGTTTCCTCCTAGATTCAACCTCGTGAGGTTTATTCCTACGCCTTTGAAAGCTTGCGGGTCCATGCTATGTATTCGATTTCCGTATAGTGAGAGTCGTATCAACGCGCGCATTCCTCGGAACGCTTCTGGACGAATGATTGTGATCTGATTCAAACTCAGATTCAGAGAAACCAGTTTCTTCAGGTTCTCCAAGGATTCGGTTGGCACCTGCAAAGGAGAAACAGGCGAGGAACCTGTTAACAAGGTCGGTGAGGCTGAGCAGCTGTTCGACGGTAAGTAGCTCGCAAAGAACAGTCGTCAGCATGTGTCAGCTGATGATGGCACAAGCTGAGCTCACGGTATGCGTTGCTCTGGTTGCCTCTCGCGAGCATAATTCGCTTAGCGGAAGCTTTCATAGAGCGGATCTTTTTGCAGCTAATCCTCTTAACAAAGACAGCCGTCGTTACGCTTCTGTCTGATCCAATTGAACGGCAAGAAAAAGTGTTTTTTTTTCCTTCCTCCCCTCCCTTCCGCACTAATCTTGTGAATTTCTTGACAACCAGCACCTTTTCGGTCAAGGTCGAGCCGAAAAAACGCCGTGGCAAACACGCAATTATGCCAGCTTGCTCCCACGCAGAGCCAGGAGCTTCTTAGACCGGTCACTCCATCGAGAGGAGTGAGACGATGGAGTGGAATTTATTCATGGTCGGCCTTTTTATCGACTGTCACGTCTCGACACGTTGTAAACATTAAACCGTTGATTTGTTGTTTGCGTGAGTGAGCGAGAGTGTCTGACGTAGGTCGTGCGTCGTCCGGCTCCGGAGGTCAATCTTGGTATTGTTCCTCCGTCTCGCGAACCGAGAGGAAAAGAAAGACTAATAATAAAGAAGTTCGGACCTTCACGAGCTGAAGATCCGGACGGAGGCGTTACCTCAGTGAGATGGTTTTTCGATAGATCGAGCGACTCGAGTTTGTCGCCAAGGTCTTGAAAGGCATCCCGATGTATTGAGCTCATATTGGCTTCGTGCACCATGAGATGTTTGATGTCCAGCCCGTAGAGCAGATCCTCTGGGAACGAACCGAGGTAGTTCCCATTCAGCTTGAGATACACCACTCCGTCTTGTTGCTCCGCGACCTGAAAAGCAGAGACATTTTAGGGACGTCTCCAGATCCTTAGACTCGCTTCGAATTCGGGGACGATTACGCTCTGCGTTCTATTTCGGAGCTCTTCACGGTCGCCGCTCTGTGGAGCCCGTGAACTCCGCGAGGATTTTTTTTCCCGTAAAGAGGATATTCCGGTGGGAGGCGCATTGATTGGGGAGGAGACCCAAAACTGTGGATAGCCCATCACGGCAGGTCGTAACTCACAACCTGTAATCCACAAAATGCCTCCTCCTGCTGCTGCTCAACTAGCTAGTTGCTTGTCTACATGTGCCTCTATTATCGTTACTATCCTATTCGCATCTTCATCGAGAGATGCGGTGGTTCGCGGGCGAGCGGCCGCACGCACCAGAAGCTCTTCTGCATCATTTAGTCGGCCTACGGCGGCGTCCCACGAGTTTGAAATTGCATCACCGAGAGGAGCGCATGTTAAATTGTGCGCAGGATCTCATTTTGAGACCAGCTCGTTTTCACTCATTCGTAACTCCGTCCCGCCGTTCTTTGTGCGGAATGAACGGATCCCCGTGCCGTCTCTATCCTCGTCAAGGGTCCCAGCGGAAGCTCTCGGCTCCGAGGGTCGTTCAGGGTTAATTCCGTTATTCCCGAAGCGGTCTACCGTCACATTCGGCTTGGTTTTGCTTCCTCTTCCACCCGCCATCGCTCTATCCGCCGGACGTTCCATTCCTCGGATCCCTTGGAGTCGGACTCTCGAGCGTATGTCTTCCGGGGCCGAGAGTTTCCGAGGGATCATTCCCAGAATCGAGTCCAAACGGGACACACCCAACGGGTCGAGTCCCCCATGGACGGTCCTGGGTTCTCTTTTTCCTATCGTAGGGCCAGCGAGAGGAAACTCGACGCGTTGTGTCCGGGCGAACGATATGAGAGACACTTCGATCATGAACGCGGTTCAGCGGCTCGTCGGACACAAGAAGAAGTTTCGCCGCGTCGCTGCGCTCGCATATTGGATGAATTTATTGCACGAATGCATCATTCTCTCGAAGACGATCTCCTCTTGTCTCGTCGTAGGGTTTCGCCCCGAGGCGGTGTCCATCTCCTTCTTCCCGGCCGGGCACGAGTACGGACAAGCTAATAATCGAAGGTCTTCACCCACACTTGCTACCTCTACTCCAACGACGACGCTCCTCCGCTCTGTGATTCTCCTCCAGCACTGGGCTCGTCTCGGCTGGCTGACTGACTGAGAGAGAACATGGAATCCTGTCTTGCGGCTATCCGAGCCCCCACCGGTCGATACGCAGGCAAAACGACCAGGTGCCAGGTAAGCTTGCTCTTGTGTTGTTCACTTGTGAGTGGGTAAGCGAGGAGGAACATCACTCTTGTTCGTGAGTGCCGTCCGAAGACGGATGACTTAGAGACAACTCCTATTTCTTATCGCATTTCTCCTCATGATTCTCGTTCACTTTCCCTTCCCGCTCTCCCCGTCCGCCTACATCAGAGCGCTGGCGGCCATTTGAATGTATACTGGAAAGTTTGATTCAACGCCGTCGTCCTGCGGGATCGGGTTCTGTAGGTGGGAAAGGCAGGACTCGCAACGTCAGCAAACCAACTGTAAAGAGCAATCTATATGCGCATGCCTAAGACACCTCGGTACAGCGTCGTCACTCCGTCACGTCCAGCGCGTCTCCCGCTAAACGACCGAGGTCCGCAGCACGACTTCAAGCACTTGCCCTCGTTCAGTCCGACTCATTCATCCGCAGTAAGTTCTCCATCGAAGTTCCCCGTCCCGTGGCGACAAGAACTTCCGGCTGGCTTTTGATGACGAACTCAAAAATGTGGACGTTTCGCGGTTCCACTTTGGAGATGTACGAGTGACCGACGGACCGTCTGGCCGCGCGAGCGAAGTGCCGACCCAGCCCCGTGTCCGGATATCGCTCCGCAGGGCCAATCAGGACGACGGAGAAGCAGAATTATAGGTGGTTACTTACCCGCAGGAGAAAACTCCGGACTCTTTCGATGGGGCTCTTCTCGCACAAAACGTCGAGCCCCCGGGAGCGTTCGTGACATTGACATGTTAGTCCCGGGATGCGCTGTGGACATCCGAACTGATGGGCGGATATGACGTCGGCCACGAGGAGCCACACCAAGACATGCGAGTTCAACCAGCGCAACATCTGTAAGGGATAAAGTTCCTTTGAGCACGGTACACGTCACGAAATCCAGAATGACGAGAAACCGGGGTCAGAGCTGGTGGGTGCTATTCCCGATAATGCCCAGTCCGATATCGCGGTCACAGTGACGCATTTTGGAAACTGAAGACCGTCAAATTGTCGAGAGTTTCTCCGGAGCTCGGCCATGATCGCTCGTGTCGCTTGAGCTCGAATTTGGGACTCCTGAAGCAGCTACAAGCATGCACGGAGAGTGTCTCAGATTGATATCCAGCGGATGAGCGCGATGTCATCCGCGTGAATACTTCTCGATCCAATGATTCCAGCAGATGTGCGAGAAGGAGAGCGACGGAAGCGTTCGGGTTTTTACACTCATAGGCAGACTCGAAAGAGCTAGGAATCAGCGCGGCTTCGCGGTCGAGATCAACGCACCTTGCGATCGGACGTTGAGTCAGCCTCCCGCCATTACTCGAAGTGTCTCAGCGCTGCCTGAAAAAAAAGTTGATTTTAATAAGTTTCCCAGCTACGTGCGAATCTTTTTCGGTCGAGCTGGTCGAGGAGCTCGAGGAGCTCCCAGCGGGAAAAACCATGCCTTAATAGACATTTCGAAGGGCTGTCATCGAGTCTCGAAATGGAAGGGGATTTAGTCTAAATGTATATGTAGAAATCAGAGTCCGAATCTCGGTCGGGGACTCTCTTTACAGCTCTTGGGATCGAAGCTCGAGTCGCGGGTCGAGGACGACTCGAATATATTTAGGATGGGGATTTACATTCAGGTATGGAGCTGAATCCGATCAGGGAATTGATGCCGGGGCAGATGTTGCCAACTCATCAAAAATAAGCTGCTCGACGAAAATCGATGGCGGGACCGAGATGCGCCCGAGTAAATTCAAGAGATGGGAAACATCCGCATGAGCTCCCGAGTGAAAACTAGGCACCGAGGAAGGAGCATGCAGACGCGACGGAATTCCTGACGATCTCCGAGCTCGATGCCAAATATTCATGCCATCGGGTATCGTCGGGAGTCATCTCGCCGAGATTTGTTTGCGACAAAGTCGGTCTATCCGGGCGACGATGATTTTCCCACAGAAATGTATCGGAATGAGTTCATAACGACACATCCCGGAAGACATCTGACGTTTTCGGATTGCTCTCGTCAGGGTGGAGCGAGTTGGTGCAGACTCCCTTGGATTTCCAGGTCATCGAGGGGTCAAGCCTGCCTCATCCATTCCTGGTCCGCGTTTTACGGCCGGAGAGGCCCGTTTCACGACGCCGTATCACCACCTAACCACCTAAGCTATCGACGTCTCTGCAGTTCAGTTCCGACACCCCAGAGATCTCCGTTCAGTCCACCGGGATCCGAGCTTGCTTTGCTCAGCGTATGTTTCAGAAGTTCGCCCGCGATGATCATCATGCAAGTCATGATATTGCTGTTGTTGTTGCTGCTGCCGCTTCTGCTGCCCCAGCGCCGCCTGTTCGGTAACGTCAGGAGCCGCGGGAAAAACTCTGGAGGAAAAAGTGATATCAATGAGCGCTCGTTAGCCTGGCGTCATTTATCACGGCGAATATTTGTTTAGAATTCTCTCCCTGCGCTCTGGATGAGTCATCAATTTTGTTCGCACACGCTCTCAGTGAAGCCAGAGGTTGCGTTCCTCGGGCGGTCGCCCCGGGTCGGCTTGCTCGCTTCACTTGGAGATAGCTGCTGCGGCGTTCGACCGGGAACAGGAGGAAAAACGTCCCGCTGAAGCCTCCGGATAAAATTCCCATCGTGAGCTCGAGGTGATCCTGAGCCGACGAAATGCTGATCGACAAGGGGGAGAGTTGCAGCTTCAGCTCCGGATCGGGAAAAATGTCGCAACACCGGTCTCTGGTTGCCGCCGACGAGAAACACGGTGTAACGAGCAACGTTGTGCGGGGACATTGATTTCGTGAATAAACTCCATCAGAGAGAAGCACTCGTTTATGAGCAAGACACCATCCGCTATGTCAGTTTTAATACCAGAAGCACGAGAACAAAATTAAACCATCTGACCAAGCCACAGGCCGAATGGGGCGGATTATAAAAATCAAAACAATCCCCGCACGTAAAGCCAAGCCACAAGTTAGCTCGCGAGATTGCCTACTTCCGTGTAGTGCGACAACTGACAACGACCGAATGCGATTTTTATCTAAACGCTGTTCTGCTTGTCCGGGTAGTGATCTCAATCTGCGAATAAGCAATTAGGCTCGGATCAGGGGTTATCGCGTACATTAAATTAGCTCCCATTGTCCGGCTGTTTTCCACCGCCTCGGTTGCCTGCCGGGAGATTAGAACGCCTCCCGAGAAAACGAGGAGCTTAAATTTCCTGCGCTGTTTCCTCGGGAACGGTGACTGGACCCTCGAAAATCGGGGCAAGCATGACTCTCGCACAAAGTCACGATGATGAGCGATGCGATTATTCGATTTCCGATGAGAAATTCGAAGTATCGACTATGAAGGTGACTACGATTGCAGTTAAACACGCCGTTTCGCAGTCCACGCAACGACCACGAAGAAGGGTTCGGATCGCTGCGGACTCGTCGCAAAAGGGTACGCATGCAAGCTGAGCGAGACCATCGCAACAAATTGCCTGTTCTTCGATTCACTAAGTGACTGACTGCACGCCGAACGGTCCTGTAATAGCTGGGTTCCTGTGGACACAGGGGAACACGCAGCGGGAAGCTCAATGGAAAGGCAATAGCAGCCCCCACCGGATCTTCGTACTGTTTTCGCTCCCCTGCAACACCGATACGAGGGGGGGGGGTTCTTTACCTCGCTCGCTTGTCCTTCGCGCGTCAATCGGCCCCCTCCATCCCCCTTCCCCTCCGTGCCTCCAGACCGCTCGGTCACTTGAACACGATTTGATGATGACGTGTGAGTATTGAGCTGCGATGTATTCCGTGACAACTAATTCTTCCGGATGCCCGGTAATTACAGCATCAGAGAGATCGGGACGTCGATCGTTACAGCTCGGTTTCTTCGGGGGACGTTGTATCTATCTCGAGCCCGAAATGCGTCGATTCACGTCGCCGTCGCATGCCGTATTCGGAAAACCCAGCCATGCGCTTCTCTCAGCGACGGCGATTCTCTGTCCGAATGCTCGGGCTGAGGAATGACTGGACCCACGACCTGAACAATGGACGAAGGTTCGGAACGCCGCGTCGCTATCTGAGAGAAGCTCCGATGCGACAATGTATCGACGAGCTGCGAGATTATACTGTGGCCCGACGATCGATCCGAGTTGGTCAGAAGACAACGCCGGGGCTCCAAGCCCCTGCGAACCGCAAACGATGTACGACTGCGTCAGCGTGAAGCCACCAGCCACAGATGGATGGAGGGAGCCATCAATCATTCTCTATTTTGTCTGAGCCCTTGAGCGCAACGAATCACTGGATTCCGACGACGACGGACGAGTCGCGGGGCTCTCTGCACAACAGTCAAAGCCGACTCGAGAGGTCTTGATGCTCGGCCCTCGAGAGACTGGTATCAGGGCTTCAAGCAGAAAGAGGAAAATCGGCGGCGAAAGGGACCCATCGGCGACAGCGGCTCCAATCAAAGTATTAAAGTGCATCGAGCCACAAGAGTAAACACGTTGTAATTCGAGTGAAGTGGGAAGCTATGAAAGTGCCCACAAACGAGTGTGGCCGACGGAACGGACTTTGGCGCCGAAATTCCCCGTTTACTGAATTGGAGACGTCGAGTCGAGCTCCCGAACCGAAGGGAGAGCTCTGTCTTATTTTAAAAGCAGAGGGAGAAAGGTAACGCATCGCCAGTCCGGTGACATTCACTCTTCCCTTCCATCGTTTCGTTGATCAAAAAGTTTCGATGCAAGTTCAACAGTTTCCGAGTCTCGAGACTCCCCCGTCGCTTTCAAAGTAATCGAAAGCGGCGCGATCGTAGAATAATTTTCTCGAGTAGCAAAAAACAGGTGCTCCTACACCACCTGTGGGCGGACGGAGCAAGCGTGCCTGATGGATCTTTCCGTGCGACATCTTCGATTCTACCGGGCCGCGTAACTTTCGACGTATCGTCGTCGTGCCACTACTCGCCACCGACCGCGTTCTACCGGCCCCACGGAGACGGCGAAACCGTGATGATAACGTGTGAGCCGGAGGAGGGCAAATTAAATTTTCGCACGAGTCTCGACGGCTCGTATGGACGAGTTTTATGTCGGCGGCTGATGCAAGTCGACGCTAGAAGTCATTCGGACGTGTGAGTCCATCAAGGTGCGGCAACAACCATTTAGCATGTCGCAACTTCCCAGTTTGCGGAATTCGCGCCGCTCCGTTCGTCCTCCCGCACGTTCAGAACGAGCTGTCTTCTAAATGATAAACAGCTCGGACCGCATTGTAAATGAGTTCAGCCGTCTTTCCACCCGCCGTGTACCCGTGTTCCCGTCTTGCCTCCTCTGGAATTATCGAGTCGCCCGCTGTCTAAGTTAAATCACGAGAAATTATTCCCACATGGGACGGCTGAGATTCGGGGAACAGCTCCCAGGAGATACGATCTGGTCTGCGGCGGAGCTCGTGATTTTCTAGACGCAATTGGTATGCGGAATACGAATGATGTCGTGCTGAGTAGCTTGAAGTTTGACATTTAGGTTTGACAACGCCATTGTCGAGGGCTCAGGTCAATCCATGGGCGTGGGGAGGGGTAAGGTTTTTGCTGCCGCAATGTGTCTTGGATGGAGCATCGTCGGGAGAGCACAATATCCGTAGGCTTTGATGGCTACTCGACGTCGAGACCCACGATTGAGAGGTCGGTGACGATGATATGTGACTTCCTGGCCAGTCAAAACAAGTCCGGGGCCGAAAATCATGCCTATTGGTCGACCAAGAGACTGCCCAGAAAGCACTGGACCCTGTCTGAGCTGAATACAGTGGATCACGGAAAAAAACGAAGCTCGTCCGGGAGCAGTCGGGAGACAGGAACTACTCCCGGAACTTCTCGTAGTCGTTGAACTCACTCACTGAGCCGAGTGGGGCTGATTAGTGCTGTCGAACTGTATAGACAGTATGTTCTCAGGTATTTTGGGTTCTGCTCGAAGTTTGCACTGCAATTCCCGACAAGCTCGGGCTCTATTTTTTATCGAGGCTGGAGCCCAAGAGTCTTCCCACGCGGTATTTCCGATCCTTAATCCCACCGAGACCGCGAGGGATGGAAACGTAGTATACGGCCTCCAGACTTCATCTTTCGTGAGTCGTTTCTCCACCGAGGCCACATTCTCGGTGTCGACTCCGTCGTCGCGGTCGTCGTCATCTGGTCGGCGAAGGCTGTGAAACCTTTTATCACGCCTGGTTTTCCTCCAGAGGATCGCAGCGTAGCCTCTCTTGTTTCTGTCTCTACGGTTTTTGCCTTCACTCAAGTTTTGGGACGGAACTTTCGAAGCAACCGCTGTGTTCACTGGTGGATCTATCTCGAGCAAACACGGCGGCGCAGTGTTGAATCAGCGCCCTTTCCTCTCTTCGTT